CCACAAACACCCCCACAAACACCACCACAAACACCGCCAGCGCCGCCGCCAGCGCCAGCGCCAGCGCCAACGCCAGCGCCACCCCCAGCGCTTCCCCCACCCGCACCCCCACCACCACCGCCACCACCACCACCCCCGGCCGCTGTCGCCGCCGCCCCTCCACCACCACCAGCACCAGCACCGCCGATGACGACGACGCGTACTATAGATTACTAGTAACATTGCTGGTAGCGCCACCTTTACTTTTAGTAACATTAGCAAGGCTAGTTTTGGCCTTACTAGATTTGACGCCTTACAAGAGGCCCTAAATGATTTAAATCTCCATGTCATTCTTCATTGTCTTTTCCTTTGGTTCTCCGTTATTATATTACAGACATGCTAGTATGGCTAGTAGAAACCCTAAATTCTAAATGTGCATGCGGGGCACCACTTCGGACTCACCGGCTTTAGTGGCGTTTTTCTCCCCCTAGCGACTCGCTAGCACAGAAAAGGTGCGAAGGAGTGTTAAATAAAAGAATCCTAAGTTACCTCCCTGGGACTTAGCTTGGACCTTAGGCCCTTAACTGTTTGGGATTCCCTTACACTCCAAATACAGGTATCTAAAAGGTTACTTAACCGCCTAAACCCAAAACCCTAAACCCTAACCTTGGGCACTGCCCCCCCCTCACTAACAGTTGGATAATAATTGTAATATGGTTATATATAGTCCTTAATAGGACCCCTAATATAGACTGTGACTGGGTGAGGGCAGTACCCAAGCCCTAAACCCTAAACCCTAAATGGTAGTTTCCATTTCCTTTTCCATTATCCCAATATAACCCCAATATCAACCCTATAATCCCTATATAACCCCTATAAGTATTATCCAACTGTTACCGAGCTTGGGGTCCTAAGTGCCACGTAGTTACTACACGCGGTGGCAGGGCAAGGGCTCCGTCCTGCCACGAGAAGTCGTGGCCAAAGAAGGTTGGGTCTGCTTCCCAGCTTCCATTTCCGAAAGACCTTATGAAGGGGTGTAACTTGGATATGTATATTTTCATATGTACATATAGGGTAGGGGTTGGGAGATTTGTGGTTATATAGATATATGGGAGTATCCAGGGTTTGGGCCTTTCAGAACTAGGGGTCCTGTTTATACATAAGGGTTTGGAGAGCTCCGCCTACCAGTTTCCATGGAAGATATCATCAGCTCTCAAATCCTTCAGATGCAAAGCTCAATCATCAGAATCCGTTTTGATTCAGTCTGAAGCGTAGCCCTGAGGTCTCTTCGAAACTGACCCTGTTCGCAAAGCAAGAAGCTGCGTGGCAAAGCCCACGGCCTCTAGAGTCCAGGACTTACTGTCCACCCACAGAAGTCCCGCACAAATGCGTTCTTTTTCGTGATAAATAGGAAACATAGTAGAGCTCTTTTCCAGAGACTTCTGGGGTTGGTTGCTGAGGTGATGGCAAGGCCTGTGCAAAGTGTACATGTAGGACTAGGGTGCATCTCAAGCAGCAGTTCGCCACAAATTTTGAACGGCTGCTTCCCCATCAGTCTGAATTTCTTACTGGTGGTTAGTAGGGAACAAGGGGGAAACCCATGATAACATAATTCCTGCTTCCCTATCTAACCACCAGCAAGATTCTTGGACCTTGCGGCAGGGACTTGTTTTGCGCTCCAATGTATGTAGCGCACGGCGCACAGTCACCGTCTTACTTGCATTCCACAGGCACCAGCGAGTCGTTCAGAATTGTGTGTTGGCTTCTGAGCAAGACAAGAGCTCTAGTCATCTAAACGCGCCAAAGGGGGTTATGTAGGGGAGCATTCTACTGTAGGTGTTGATGAGGGGGATACTACGTTTAGCCTATAGTTCATGAATAGGGCAGCGCAGAAGCAAATGCACTTTCCTGCCACTTCATTGCAGATTCCTACCTTGTAGCCGTCGGACGAGAAGCGCAATGGCTACGCCCACTATTCGACGGGTCCTGCCTGACTACTATGCGGCACTTGAGATACACGAGGACACTCTGCGCATCAGTCATCAGCCACGTTCCCATTCTACGCGTCGCTTTGCTGGAAGGATGCCGATGAGGGAACCATCAAAAAGGCTTACCGTGACCTGGCTTGTTTGTGTTCCCTTCAGCCTTGATAAAGTACCCATTTGCGGAGCCTCAAACGGATTTTGAAAAAAGCTTTATGCTGCAAGTGCATGGTAACTTTCCTTACTGGAAGAATTGGTCCTCGTAGTAGCCCCATATCATAGTAGTAGCGACGCGAGAATAATCGATAGCAACAGTCATAGCAATAGTAATAGTAAGAACACAAGTAATCGTATTAGGTATAATCACAACAGAAATAATGATAAGCTTCACAAGCTGGTGTCTGAGGGCCCGCCTTCCCTTGCTTCCTACTAAAATCTACTGATCGCTGCTCAGTTTCAGCTTGTGGCATGCGTGCAGAGCATCTGACTATGCAAACGATGGAGCGCATCAGTCATCGTCAGTGTCTCATAGGGGTTCGCAAAATCAGGCACCCCATGTAACCGCACAAGAAAGCATCATTATATGAGAGCCCCAGCTAAATGTTGACTGAACCCAGAACCATCAACCATAAACCTTAATCGCTAGATGTTGACAAGTCTCTGAGAAACTTCAAGATCAAGGCCGGCTTGTTCTCCAGTGGCATCCCGACCGCAATCCCACCGACCGAGACACAGCGGAGGCCTAGCGGGCTACAGCTGACTTCCTGGGCAGAGTCAAGAAGTCCACAATTTTGCTAATGGTTCGCAGGAAACATGGGAGCACAATCCCTGTAGTATAATGCTAGCCCCCAGAAAGTAGATGGTAGGTTGTCAAGAGTGGTCTTTTTGGGTGAAATATTCGGGGCGTTATTATATTGGCGTCCACCGAGAAGACCACAACCCTGACAACCTGCTCAATGGATTCGGGTACACGCACACTTTGTTGGTGGTATGCACTTGTTGGTGCACATTTAGAGGTACACATTGATGTGCATGTAGTCATGATAGCTGAGCGTTGCTCGTGAGCAATGAGGACAATGGCGCGTTTCCCTCGAAGGCTAACCTGTCCAGTAAGTGACTATAAGCCTTCTGTGTAACCAGACACCACTCTACACCAAAAGGTTAATCCTGCAGAAGGTCCAGACATTAGATAATATGATCCCCGCATAAACTCCACTGTGACGCTTATATTCGTCCCTTTTTCTTCCACTCCGGCATCAGTAAGTCACTTGCAAGGAGAAGATTCGATTGCTGAACACGGCCTACGAGATCGTGACCAATCCAATCAAGCCCGGATTCTGAGAAGGGAT